TTTTTAATTGCTAATCGAAGAGAGGAAATTTTTATTTTAAAAAATCACCCGAAAATAAGCACCTCTATAGCAAAAAAGGGTGCTTATTTTCGGAAGTATACGGTACTTATTTTTTTTTTTAAAAAAAATGTCTTCTGGTTCTATAATATCTTCTGGTTCTGGTTCTCAAATGTCTACTGATTCAATTAGACCTATTTGTAATTTAATTGAATTAGGTTTAGAAAAATATGAAGAAAATGAATTAGTTTTGAATACAATATATGAATTAATAATATTTTTTAAACAAAGTAATAATTGTATATGTTATAGAACTTTAAAATAAAAAGATTTAAACTTTAAAAAAGTAGGCTTTAAACGTTTTTTTGAAAGACATTTTGAATTAAGAGCATTAGAAAAAATGAATTAGATTTGTTTTAAAATCTCAATTGATGTATTTTGAAATTACTAATGAAAGAAATAATGAAAAAGAATTACAAAAATATTTTTACAAATATAATTTTAATACATCATTGCCATTATGTAAACCTACATATATGGAATAAGTGAACATACACTTTCAGCTATACAATCACAACTTCAAGTATATGGATTAATAGAACGTGTTCATAGAAATGTTGGACATGCAAAACGGAAAATTCTAAAGTTTTTCTTGATTTAAAATTTACTTCACAAATTAATTTTAATAGCATGCCTCCCAAATATCGAAAAATATGATAAAATTGCATGAATATAAACGGAATATTACAGGTATTATATTGATAAGATATTTTCCGAAAGTACTCATAAAAGCGCGTAAATAATGAATTTTTTAATAATCCATTAATAGCTATCTATTTTTTACCTTTTTTATGAGTGTTGCGAGTTGTAATTTGGTTATTAGCCGTTTCAATTACTTTTCTCGAACTTGCTCTCAATACTCTAATGGATTTTCTTTGGATTCCTATATTTATTATTAAATATAAATTGTAAAAGTATTATAAATATCATCAAAACGTGAATTCTTATTATTTAAATGCCAGAATTTGCATTTTTTGTACTTGTGAAGATGGTTGGATGTCAGCCACATTGGAATCATTAATTTTCGTTTCAGTAAGAATTTTACTTGAAGGTTTTTCTGAAATTGATGTAGATGGAAGTGACGGTGTTATCTTAACAGTTTCAGGTGCAGACAATTGAAAATTCGCATCATTGCTTGATAATGATTTTGACTTCATTTTCTTGAGCTCTGGGTTAGGCGGTGTGATATTCTTGCGTTTGATGTGGATCAATACCTTGTATAAAACAATACCTACCCTAATTTCCAACAATGTCCTGTCATTTTTTGCAAGACAAAGTCTCCAACCGAAACAGAAAAGGTTGGAAAGTCACTTTTAAACTAAGTACTAATTTAAAAAAGTTAATTAAGTTTAAAATATGAATAATATAAATATATAACTTACACTATTAATGACATTTCTAATTTTACCGGTACTAGTTCTGATGCATATTTTCCTTTTTCACAAGTAGCATTTAATCTATCGCGGAGATTTCTCTGCAAGTTTACAAATTATTTAATATAAATTTTAAATTATAAAAATATAAAATTATTACTTGCCTTATAAATCCAATATGTATCATATGGTAAATTAAAAAAAGTCTTTCCGGTCTTCTTTAGGTTGTTTCTTATTTTTCCATTGGTTCCATTCTTCTTTAGTAATAGGGTTTTGTATTGAACCCCGTGGAAACTAGCAAATATTAATTAATATTATTTATCATTCATATTTTTTTTAAAATAATTTTATATAACGCCTATAAGATATAAATGGTCATTGTCCTACTCAGTCCGGTCTAAGCTGGTCCCGGTCTTTGCAGGACGGATCATGGTCTCTAGCGCAGTAAGACCAATAATAAGACCGATCGAAAGACCATCGGTCCTACATTTCGGTCTTATAAATAAATAATATCCGTAATCGCCTAAGGAGCCAGAATCGAAAGAGCCGTAAGAATAAAGTTCTAAAAAAAAAAATATAGAGGAAATTGTTAGAATTTTGAAGTAACGAAGCGGAGAAAACAAAAAATAACGAAAAAAATGAAACAAAGCTTACCGTAATCAGCTACCAAAAGAACTTATAAAAAAAGAAGAAAAGGTGTTTCTTTTGTCTGCTTCATTTTTTTTTTTTTGTTTCTTGCTTCATTTCTTTAAACTTTCTAAGATTTTTCTTTTTTATTTTTAGATCATTCTTTCGGCGATCTTGGTTTGTGGTTATGGTAAGCCGGTCTTATTGTCTATCACATAATTATGGAAAACTGTAAAACCTGCGGTCCTACCAGTCCTACGCAGTCCGTCTTTTTAAGGTGTAGGACCAGTAAGACCGAGGTCCTCCGGGACCGTTGACCATCTTTACAGAGCATTTGAAGTTGGCTTAGATGATGTGTCGATTTTGTGTATCATTGTAGCAGAACTGTTGGATTTGGAGCAACAAAGCTATATTTGGGGTAGATTCTAAATTTTCCGTGGTATTTGTATTATTATTCAGCCATGGTCTACAAATAAAAAATAACGTTCAAAATATTTCTAAAAAATATTTCCTAATTCCTTTAACAAAAAGGTACCTTTCTTATTTTATATTGTAAGAATTTAAAAAAGAAGCGGTAAGATAAAAGTTGGCAAATAAATATTTTTAAAATAGTCTATTTAAATTATACTATAATTATGTCATAATTTCATTATTTTCATCGGCATAATCTACATTTATTCTTTTATATTTTTTTTCACCCCGAATTTTTTTTTTTGGTTTTTTATTTCTAAATTTCAATTTTTTTTATTATTCACGGGAATTTATTTTTTTAATTTTTTTTTCAGTTCAGTTTTTAATTATTTTATTTTAAATTTCGAATTTTTTATTTTTTAATCATCCCGGGTTGATGTATCTTCAATTATAATAAAACCAGATGATTTCAAAACGTATTTGTAAATTTTCAGGGCATAATTGGAGCATTTTCAATTTTGAATATATTCGGAATTGTAAAAAATTTATAAATTTTGAACAATATCATTCGCAATGTAATCGGAACATTTTCACTATATTCGGAAGAAAATTGGAATACATTCTTAAAAAATTTATTTATAGTACCTTATTTTTTTTTTACTTGCAATACGCTTTATTTTTTATCTTTACAAGTGTAATTTTTATTTTATTATTTGCGTTACTCTTGTTTTCTCGTATACATTTTACCTATTTCTTTTTTTCTTTTGAAAAATATTTATTTCAATTCTAATTTCTTCATATTTAATTATTATCCTTTTTTTTTTATAAAAAAAAAAATAAATAAATAAATAAGAAAAAAAAAATTAAAATCATAATATAAATAAGCATTACTCGCAGTAGTCCAAACAGAAAAAAAAAAAAACTAGGAACACAAAAAATAATATAAATTATTAAATTCTAGTTTGCCAAGTATTGCACGGTCAAGATTTTGGTGAGTAAATTTTTCATATGTAGCGTTTTGTTCATCTGTTGCATAAAATGAAATATTTTTATTATTGGTTGCAATACGTAAAATTGCACTTGAAAATATCTCTATTTTAATTATTCACGTGATATTTTCGTTAAAGGACTTTTATTTAAGAAATAGCAATTATCGTTATTACTGAAAAAATTGGTCCAGAAACGCAGAAATCATGAATGATATAATCGTACTTATGTGATTCTTCCATCTTACAAAATTATCTAATTCTTTACCGTGCAATATTTTAGTCCTCCCCGGTATGTGAAAAAAGTATTATTGAATAAATATGTTTTTGGCACATCTACATTTTTAAAGCATAATATATAACTCCTTTGCAATTCTGCTCCCATTTGATTGATTTAGTTCATTTACATTTCTCATTAAAAGGTTTGAATGAGTATTTGACATAACACAATTCGCATGACCAAATTTAATGATACAATTCTTTAAATTTCTGTATATCTATATATTTCAAGACTAGAACTGCTAAATTAAATGACGAGATAGATAGTTAGAACAAACCTTTTCACTAAAAATATATTTCACGTTAATTTTTGTACAATAAACATTTTTTAACAATTATCTATATTTAATTCGGAAGATGAAATTTAGCGTAAAGGCCTCTTATTTTTTTTATTTAATAAGCCTTTTCAAAACTATTGGATGACTAATTTAAATTAAATGTAATATAAAATTCAAATATAATAATATCGTTATAATAAAATGTAAAAATACTACATAACTGAAATAAGAATTTTCCATTTGTTATTTTAAGATTGCTTCAACTTGCATCAAATATTGACTGAATTGCTGTATCACGTCCTAATGATTAGAACTATAGAATGGTATAAACTTATCAGAAACCTTTAAACATCCTAATGGAACAACAAATAAGGGCGCTATTATAATTGTCACAAGGAAGTTTTGTAGGTAAACAATAGCTTAATCACGGGACACCGGATAAATCACTTATCCGGCGCTTCGAGCCGAATAACTACTGCTACCTAATAATATTGGGAATCAAATTTGATTTATGATTCGGGGCTCCTGCGGAGCCCCAAATCAACCAATCAAATTTGATTTTCCCAATATAATAGTTATTCGGCACGAAGTGCCGAATAACTATTAATTATCACGTGATACTACTCCGCTTTGGACGACCCCATTTATAGTAATCAGTCAGTTAATTTAATTTAACGTTAAGGATGATCTCTTCATAGACCATTATTTTATTAAATTTATTATAATTTTAATTTGTCGAGATCTGCAGTCAGTTGAAAAAAAATTTTATATAGCTTTCTTTAAGAACCAATTTTATATTTTTTACTTGCTATTAATAGTACAATATTATTAATAATTTCTTTAAATTTTTCATTTTTTGTGAATTTCCAAAAAAAATTTCGATTTACCCTTTTAAACACTGGCCTCAGTTATTCAATACATTTACAACTTTTATGATTAATAAAAAAAAATTTTTCAAATAATTTTATAATAAAGGAAAGAATGCATCTATTTTTATTCGATAATGGTATGAAAAGCTTTAAATCAATTTGGGTCTAGATTAAACATAATCTTATGACTCAACTAGGACACCAAAATTTCCAAATTGCATCGAGTACCGTAACTTTGTGATAATCAGTACAAGCTGCAACAATGAAAAGTGTAGCAAATAGAATGAGTACCAATGCAAAATTTGTTTCTTGGAGATGGCTGGTAATAGTTTCTTTTTGATTGAAATTATCGAGAAAATTTTAGATAACTAGTTTAATAATAAATAATTATTTTTTAGATTTTTAGGCAAACTAATAAATAATCAATTATTTACTACGACAATAAATTTTGGGTTTCTTTTTGAGAAGAACATATTATATGATTATATAATGGAGCATCACCATTAATTCCTAGTTAGGGTTTCTGATAAAAGATAAAAAAAACACTATCTACTGTTCGATAATGCAGCAGGTTCTGTCCAGAAAATGTCCATCGAACCCCATCTTTTTAAATTCCAACATCATAAATTATATTGGAATAATCAAAGGCACAATTAAAATCATTTTTTGCATATACGCTAGTCTCTTTATTGTAATTATTTTACATTTAATCTGCATTTGGTGTTTCTCCAACTACAGTTTTTGGTTTACACCGTACATAGTGACCGTGAATAGAAAACCATCTGAGGTTTGATTGATCATCAGTAAAGGAATGTTTTACTTTATATTTTTCTATTTCATTTTATATTTGACAATGAACGAGATAAAAAAAAAAATTTCTGTTGTAAAAATCCATTTACGATATTGAACCAGTTTGTTCCGAGATCGACTTTTCCGAGATCGACAAATTATCATAAATAAAAAGAATTAGAATGCAAAATGGTTTATATAATGTGGTTTCTGATTTTTTCCGAAGGTAATATATAGTATATAAGGTCTACCTGATTTTCGACAAGAAAAAAAAAGACATTTCACTCATGAAAAGAACGTTATTATACATTCTATTACATTTTTCATCGGCAGTTCTTGCTGATTGGATCACTGTAGAACATGATTTTAAAATGTGCGACCAGGACGTACCTTCTGAGTATGCGGCGGTTCATATTGATGATGATGGCGCTGCTTATTCGTCGTCCCTTTTGGTCAGGAATGTTCAAACTGTAAATCATGAGCCACCCTTAACAACTCTTAACATCACTATGTGGGGGTGTACCTATGATTGTCGCTTCAGCTTTATGTTGAAAATAAACAGGGATAATCTTTCGGCTTCGTCGTATACCGAAAAAAACCATGATAATAACTACATATGTAATTTAAGTAATTACACGATAAAACTTATTCCGACTCCTAAAATTACATATAAGAAACAAGTACCTAACCCAGATCATGTATTTCCAACTCATCTAACTGCACAGTACTGCAGTGCAGGTAAACATCCCGATGCACCCAAATTTCCAATTAATAAAACAGAAAATTTAGCAGAATGCATCGATTATTTAACTGGACATGAAGTTGGAACATACGCTGCATCTCTTCAATTCGGTTCAGGCAGCTCGTTCAAACCTGATGGTTATGGTGTTGCTACATATCACATGATTAATTCGGCAAACAAGCTATTCAATCATTGGGAGAGTCATCATCGAGGGTTCCATGATGCCCTTAGTGAACTAAGTTTTAAAATGACTACCGATAATCTAATAGAATTGAAACCGCCACCGCCGCCACCGCCTAAAGAAAACAAACTCGAAAGAATTGTTTTTGCAGTAGTTGGTATTGCTCTTTTAGCTGCTCCTTTTGTTATAGCGGCACCTTTAGTTATCGGCGAAGCAGCAGCAGCGGTAGGTGAGGTCGTGGAAACATCCGTCGTCGAAGTTTCTGAAGCTAGTGCTGAATTGGGTGCTGCAGAAGATGTGGTAGCAACATCAGCTGAAGGAACGGTAGCCAGAAATGCAGCGGTAGGTTGGAGTAATAATATAGCGGACGCATCTGATGCTTATGAACGTGCAGGTGAACTTTCTGCAGATTACGAAGAAATAAAAGGCGAGGCACTTGATAACTTCTTAAGCTTTCGTCATGGACGGTATTTAATAGAGAAAATCGCAGCATTCTATCAAGAATCACGAAATACGAATGTTGCACGAATCCTTGCTGCTTTGAAGAGTGAGACTTCCCGCAGACCCGGAAAGAGGGATACGGTGGATAATATAGGATTTTTTACGGCGAACATGGTGAATGTATTCTTTCTTCCAAGTTTAATGAAAAATGTTCATCAATCATTTGCTGGCGATGGTCAAACCTTTTCAGATATTTCATCATATCTATCAGCCGCAAGTGAAAGTCTCCAATTTCATTTCGAAGATACATTACACAATCATTTTTTTACTGCAAACAAGTCAATATTAGCTAGTTTTACTGTTAATCAAGGGGTCAATTATGATCAAATACTTGGCAATGATGAAGACATATATACTACTGTTAAACAAAATACATATAATAATATGGCGGCAACAATAATAAGCACTACATTACAAACTTTTAATGTTGAAATATGTGACCCAAAACCTTCATTTTGCGGACAACCTTGTCATTCTGATCATATTTATTGTCCAATAGTTGGAAATGATACCAATAGCTGTATAATATCTGCATCAGATAGCCAAATAAATGAACTTAAGTTACTTTGAGATACCTTTGATATATGTTCAACTGATAATAGTACTGGTTGGAATATAACCCATAATAAAAATTGTGATATTAAACAATTCCAATGTCAATAATTACTCAAATGTGAATGCAATATGTAATGTCATTTATATTCATATTGAGATTTAGGAAAGTTATATTATTTGTAAGCTTTATAGTAATTGTAATTTTTAATTAAAGAAATTTTTATAGTTTCTCTTTATTTTACTTAATATAATAAAGAAATTTTTATTTATTTTTAATAATAATAATAATCATAATATCATAATCATCCATAATATATTACTAGAATGATATAAGACTACTTTTACTAATTGACATCAAATTCAAAACAATCATGATACAGAACGCTCCTTAATTTTGAAGAATAACTATATATATCTCAGAAATAAATAACATTATAATAAACAAATTTTAAATAATACTAGTTTTCTAATATTAGTATATCAATATATATAGCTATATGTGATTTTAGTATTATTTAATTAAATAAAATGTTTCATAAATATTACAAGAAATATCTTTTAGCAATATTCTTATGAGAAAACATTTCAAAATTTTATATTTAGAAATTAAAAAAATAGAATTTTAATATTTTACTTCAAATGTTATTAAAATTTTAAAGAATATAAAATATGAAAACTTATAAATATTTGTAAAATTCTAAATTAAAACTTGATATCTTTTCAATAGTCAAATTTTATTTTATTTAAATAAAAATAAATCAAATTAGTAAAATATAAATTTGAATTATTTATAGCTTTATATTATTTATATAATAAATTATTAAACATATTTTTTTGTATCTTCTTAATTTAAACTACATTAATTTAAAAAATTTAAAATAATATATTAATAAAAACAAATCATTTTTTTTAATTAAATAATTTACATCATTTAATCTTAAAATATTAATATTTATTAATATATGTAAGATGAAAATTTAATATTAAAAAGATCTGTCTTTTCAATTTTATTATGAAATATTATAAATATAAAAAGTTATATTTAAGTAAATATAATAGATAAAATATATACATAAAATATAAAATATATTATTAAATATAACATATTTTTTAAATATTTTAATAAATTACCTTTACTTTATTATTATAAAATTAATCAAGTATTTATTAATAAATCAAAATATAATTTAAATTTCTTTTTTTTTAATTTTTTTTTAAAAATAAAAAACTTTATAAAATCTTTCTAAATTTATTTATTAACCTTATCTGATTTTATTTAACTATATACTAACTAGATTAATACTTTTTCTTAATTAAAATGAAAAATATATTAAATTATTAGCTTTTATTTTATCTGAAATCAAATATATTATTTATTTATTAAACTAAGTTTAAAATTTATATAAATACTTAAAAATTATAACCTTTGATTAATATCATAAAATATGTATTATATTCTATATATATTTTATGTATATCCTACCATTTAATTATATCCTACCATGTACGTATATCTTATGTACATATTATATATGTTTCTTTTTTTATAGTGCTTATAATGAACTATTTCGAAAATCGACTGTATTACTTGAACTCCAAAAAGATTGTTATACTAAAAATCATCGGGGGTTAATTTTGTTATGATAAGGATGATAATAAATAATAATAAAATAATATATAATTTAAAAATTTTGGACATTGAAATAAACATAACATAAAAAAAATTTTTATAATTATTCGACAATATATAAAGCCTCAATTTTCAGTATTAATCAATAAAAAACAAAATCACTTATCCATAATACCTAAGGGAATACATCCTCATCATTTCATTTTTATTTATTGCGGCACAATAATAATCTATTATTTTCTTTCCTCTTTGAAATTTTCATAATATATATATATATTAGCGTATAAATTCAAACAACACAATATAGCAAAGGTCAAATTTTAGCATTTATTTAACGAACCCACCGCAACTTCTAGTGGAAACTATTTCTTATACTCCCTCTGCGTCTTCAAATAACATGTCAATTATTAGCGTCAATCAATCTTTACAACCTACTCAAAATACTCAGTCTCCTTCTCAAGAAACTGAATGGTCATTCTATTATAGACCTAACAACGATGTTCAAATTTATCTCATTACTTATAAAGTGATAACCTTTAATGAACTCATATCTCAATTATTAATTAATAACTTATACCCATCTAGTAACCGTCTTTGCTCAAACAATCTTTTTGAATTTTATTTTCAACATCCTAATGATCAAAGAATTTATAAAGTTGCCTGTGAAATGATTTCACACTCAAATATAGTTCAATATTTAAACTTAAATATTTTAGGTTTAAGACAAAGCGAACTGCAACAACAATCACCCTTGGATTTTTCTAATAGACACAAAGAAAATCTTGAGTTCCATTTGAGACAATTCCTTACCGATAATTTGGTCTCCAACAGTATTGGTAGTTCTAATTCGAATATGATTAATACTTTTCAACCAAATACAACAGTTCATCAACCTCAACAAGGAGGAAGTTCTTTTAATTCCGGCCAGAATTAAGTACTAAAAGAAAGATATTTTTCTTTCTTCCTCTCACATGAATTTTTATTTGGTGTATTGGGTGTATTTATACTTTATTCATTTATTTTATTTTATTATTTTTATTTTTATTGTTATACTACTTATAAATTATTATTATAGAATGTTTCCGTGTATATGTTGTGCGTTAACTAAAATTTGCGTGTCAGATGTAGACTACTAAATTATGGGCCATTTTGGGATGATCTTATAATGCTTTAAGAAGGTTTGGCCAGCATTAGTCATCTGACGTATGTCAACTGTCAGTTGACTCAAATCGACATCTGACGCACAACATATAAATATTAAATGAATTTAAACATTTTTATTAATAAATATACTTGTTTGTGCAAAAATATATAAAACTTGCTGTGGGAGTAATAGCGTAGCTATACAATTTCGCTTGATAATTACAAAAGATGACGTCATCATGGAGAAAAAAGTTTTTTTTTAATTTCACATCTTAAAAGAATACGTAGATGTTTTGTTCTAAAATTTAATGGAAGAATATTATGAACTATTCGTAAAGAAAATTTCCCTTGTATAAGTACTTCAACCCACTCAACATAACGATGTTTAAAAAATTTTATTCAATATGAATGAGAAAAACGTTACTACAAGATTTTCTAGCACTTTGCTTATCTTTTCTAAAACTCTAGTTGTATTCAATTTATTATGATTTAAAGTATGTATATTATGATAGCAAGAAAATTATAAAATTCCTTGTAAAATTGCATCAATATGTAACGCCCGATTTGAAATTATACAGTTAAAAATTTTTTTATAAATTTTATAACTAAAAAAGTTAGGAATCATTACTAGGAAACACAATTTATTGATATTTTAATTTTAAATATTAAAAAATTTTTATAATAAAAAACAAAATAAAACATTAATAAAATTTTCTTCAACTTTTGTAATTAAACGCTCGTTACATCTTAAATCTAGGAAGTCTTTGATTCAAGCTTGAAAAGTACATTTGGTTGATATAAAATTCAGAAACAATAGTAAATAAAAATAAAAATATTTATATAACCTTAAATATTTCTAACTTTTTTTTGTTTTATTATAAAAGGCTGACGCAACTGTAAGTATATTACGTTTGCGTATTTTAAATAAAAAAGTCTTCTTTTGATAAAAAAAGAGCTAGATATAATACCAATGGCAAAAATAAAAAAAAAAATAAAAGTAATTTAGCTCCGCATACATATTGCGCTACACATATCCGCAGCAATAAATTGAGATGATTTTTCTTTTTTTTTTAGCTAATACAAAATTCATTTTCAATATTAAAATGGGAACTCTTCACACATTTAGCATACTGATCCAGAACACCAATTGTACAAGCTTTAGTTTTAAATTAAATTTGAACGTTCTATCATATATTTGATAATAAACCTTTGCATTTTGTAATAAACGTTCGTTTATGCGTAACTTGTATGACATTTTTATAATTATAAAATTATAATTATTTTTTTTTTTTTAAAAAAAAAAAAAAAAAAAAATATGAAAAGCAAGTCGCTAAAATAATCTTTACCGATTGAATATTTTATAATTTAAAAATAATTCAAAATGATTTACATGATTAACAAAAACATTTATAATTAACAATGTTATTGTATAATAAGCGCTTCAACTATTTTGCGAGTAAATCCGCAGCAACGAGGTAAAAGATTTAGATGTTCTCAAATTAGCAAATTAGTTTAAAGCAAGAATATCTAGTTATATTCGCCTAATAAATCTATCTTTTCTTGGGCTTGAGAATACAATAAAATTACTAAAACTGAATCTGATGACAATATTATACAGTATATTACATTTTTTAACTTTCTTGATAATAAAAAACCTTGTGAAATTGGAGTGTATCTCTGCACAAGATTCTGTTTACTGGTAAGTATATTGATTATTCAGTATTGTTAAATTGTTGACAATATTAGAAGTAAGTATTTTCGAAATTAATACTTCAACAAAATTTATGATTATAGACGGAAGTATGATCATATCATATCAGAAGTATATTTTCATTATTACTATCCTTGTTATGGTTTAGCATCATCAAGCT